GAGCACACGCACAGCTGAAATTATTGATGATACAAACTGATTATTTGTAGAAAGTGCAAACTCTGTAGCCTGGACTAATGTCTTTATGGCAAATTTTTCAGGAGCAAATTTTAAATTTGTCTGCTGCAAAATGGTTTCCGAGTCATTTTTGGTAGTTATAGCCAATTTAGCATATTTCTTAATTTTTTTTATTTTTCTCAGGTTGGGAAGGAACAACAGTTAACATCTTTTCGAATAAATTTGATTTATCACGATCTCTGAATTGATCACAATTAACATTTTCTTCAGCTGTCATTGTTGTAAACTCCACTTCCAGCTCTCGTAGTCTGACAGCAACAGATTTTCCAGTGCTCATCTTATGTTGTAATACTCAGCATAATAAGTAAAAGGAATATTTTGGCAGATTCTTCAACAGAATTAGCATCATCAGAGTAACTAAAATTGGTTAAGAGTGTGTTTTACATGAGTGACATTAATAGGAAAATAAACGGCATCCATAATTCAGAGAATGTAAGGCATAAATGCCAAACTTCACCAGAGAATGGAGGCATTAACAGTATAGTCAGCTAATTGAATAATACAGTAAGCAAAAACAGTTGCAGATAATTATCTTGAACTATGCGTTATGTGCATACCTGGGTTGCCCCATAAATGCTTTTATAAAATAATAATATCCCCATAAATATCCTTAGATAAACAAGCAAATAATTATAGTAATATGGCAAACCATAACTTATAAAAATGAATAAAATATATCAATTTAAAACCTATTGTAATTGCATTAGAAGGCGAGTAATTCAGATCATAGTAATTCTGTGCTATCTGCTGAGCATAATTTAAATGAAAGTACAAAAGGAGGGAGCTAAATTTCAACATGGTAATGAAACAGATTTATTATGAAAATATAAATATATATGTATTATTATTTAAGCATAATAAAGTTAAATTAAAAAAGTAAGAAATACAGAAATTGAAAATAAATGCATAAATGAAGTAAAATTAATGAATTAATTCCTTCAATGAAAAAATACAACTGGATATCTTTCAGTTTTTTTTTTTTTTTCGTTATGTTTATATATATATATCTTTCATTGTCACAGTTTGCCATTTTACTGCAACTGTTTGCTTGTTTACCTAGGCTTTTCTTTTGGTATATTGTTTTTTCTTTTTGTGTAAGTGAACATTTTCTGAAATTTTTATTGTACAATCCCATTAAAGCTAATAATGTAATATTTTTTTAAATATTTCTAATTTTTCCATTATGAAATAGACTTAAATGACTTAAGAAAATGGTTTTCCTTCAGCATTTTTAATTGAATGTGCATCTATACATATGTATAACATGTGTATCATATATATGAAAGCAAACTACTAACTTTAACTTTTCAATAGCCTCTTTATTCTTCATTTTAATTTGGGTCCTTCCCCTTTTTATCCTAAAAATATCTATTTATAACATATGAATCTAGACTGTGTCATTTCAAAATTAATCCACATCATAAGATCTAATGTAACAAGACTCTGCAGATAATTTTTGGCCAATCCCTGCATAAAATTTCAGTTACAAACTGAAACTTTTAAGTCTTTATCTCCTATGCTTCTTCTGAATGCATCACACATTTTCCGGCTTGCTCGCATCAAAGAACACACCACACACCACAGTTCCCTTCTCTGTATCATCTATTGTCTTACATTAATAATGTAAATTTCCAAAAACCGTGGGATGCATAATGCACATATGTGTGAATCAGAATATGTGTCTGAAGAACTGATTACCCAGCAATAAATTACACTGAATCTGGGGCTACATCTGTCTGCATGCAGTAAACCTCTCATTTGTTAAAAGTTATATGTAAGATATAAAATATGAAAATAAACTACTAACTTAAATTTTGCAGTAAGCCCTGTTGCTTATAATAACTTTTTTTGGACTGCGTCATTTCTAGAGCAATCCATATTATACAACTTTTGAGTAATGCTGGTGACATAAATGAAACTAAAATAACCAATAATAATTTTAGAGCTTTATTAGTAATCCAGTCAAATGGTACTGAATCTGAAACTAACTCACTATGAATTAAGATCTCATCCTGAACATACTGCACTGCACTTTGTATCTGCTCTTCTGCCTAGGTAGAGATTTTATCACAAAGATATCTAAAATGCATATATTACATTTTGGAATAAGTATGATTATTGTGTTAATTTGTCTGTAACCACAAAATTTTTAAGTGAAATTCAAGGAGTATTATTGAAGGCTGCTTCTTAGCTCTTTCTGTTTTGTACGTAGCTATATTTCAGGCTTCAATATCTTATAAATGCGATGAATTTCCCAAATCATCACATATTCATGAGCCATTGTTCGATTGCTACACAATATACCTCTCCAATTCATTACAGCTATACCCAAGATATTGAACACACACATAACACACGAATATATATATATATATACTGGTACATCGATAGCGTTTTGAAACCAATCACTTTATAGTCGTGACCATGAAACTGCTGTGTAGATAATGACTGGAGGGAAAATCACAACTGGCTTGGTGGTTAAAATGCTATTTTTATTTTGAATAGGAATAGCACTTCAAAAATATGGTTTTTGCTTAATTGGTACAACACTAGGGATGCCAAATGTGCCCCACAATTTCTTTGTATGCAGCAGCTTACATTTTAGATGGTAGGGAAAGAAGCATAACAAAGAGATGTTACTTTCCTAGGCAGCAGCAGGTGAAAAAGTGTTGTGTAATAGTTGCAGCAGTATTTATAAGTTCGGAAAGTCTTTGCTTTAATCCTGAGCAACAAATGGGCAAAAGTCTACAGCAATAGCAGATGCCTTAAAGTGGGTTGTGCTTTAACTGAAAATTAGAAAGTTGAAGGCCTATTGTCAGTTTGTTCTAATTAAGTTTAATATGAAAATAATTTCCATTATATAATGGGTTAAACTGACAGTGCTCACATTGTTCTGTAGTGCGATCTATTTGCGAGAATGATGCCACATTTTGTAGGAAGATTAAACAAGACGGGGGACGAAGGATTCCACGAAAAACCAAATTAGTTCCGAAAGTCCCCGCTAGGGAAATATTTGGCACTGTGTAATAGAAAAAAAAGTGTTAACAAATGCAAATCAATACGGAAATTACCTTTCATTTTGCATTTAAATGAGGTTTAGTGTGGCCGTTGTTGTGGACCACATATTGCATTCTGTGCACAGTATGCACAACAGCAGAAAGTAACATGTCTGCAGGAATCTCCCGTACAGTCCGTGATATGTTATCCTTCAACGTAGCCAGGTCCTGGACCACTCCTTGATAGACCTTGGACTTGATAGACATAGTCAGAAGTCACATGGGGTAAGATCAGGCTACCAAGGTGGCCATGCAGTTGGAAAGTAGCGGCTAATGACTCTTTCTGTTGTAGCATCTGTTGCACCCATACAGCAATGTGTGGAGGGGCTCCATCTTGCATGAAAATGATTTCCCTCATTGTCTTTGTTGAAGTGCCAGAATGACAAAGTTGTTCAACATGTGGCGATATTTCTCTCCGGTAACAGTACAGGTTTCCGTTCCTGTCAAGGTAATGTTCTCATAGAAGAATGGACCTATGATAAATTCTGCTGTGAACCCACACCAAACAGTTACCTTTGGTGAATGTAAGGGAATTGCTGTGACTGCATGTGGTGGTTTGTCATCCCAAATTCGGCAGTTCTGTGTATTCACAGTTTCATTCAGGTAAAAGTGGGCCTCATCTCCCCATAAAATTTTCCATGGCCAAGTATCATCCACCTCCATTCTGGCAAGAAAGGTGAGAAAAAAGTCAATCGCTTATCATGGTCGGGGTACAGTAACTCCTGTACACGGCTGATCTTGAACGGATAGAAGTTGATTATCTTTTCGTAAGATTTTCCATACCTGTACTGTAAGGCATACCCATAATCCGAGCTACTCCACGAGTGCTAGAGGTGGCAGCAATATTGTCTGGTTCCTCTGTCGACAATCGCCATGGCAACTACTTCGATTGTATCCTGTGGTACAGAGTTTTCGTCCTCTGCCTGACTGAACCTTCAGAGAACCTGTTTTCTCAAACGTCGCAACCTATTTGCTTTTAGCCCTATTAACTGACACAGAACCATTACCTTTCATTCATTTTTTTGTGCGTTCTAAAAGCACAAAGAGCAGCTGACGCGTTGCACTGGTTGAGGTAAAAGAATTTGACGAGTAACACACACTCGACTAAAGAAGGAGACATTGCATATAAACTTTTAATCCGATTTATTTGAAACGTAACACATTGCCTTTTAAAACCCAAGCAGGTGGCACTGTGTGAATGGATGTAACGTGAAATTTGAATAAAGAACTTCTTCTTCTGCTCAGCGTACGTGATATTGCAGATTACAAGACTTTATCGTGTTTATGTAGATTTTACGCTTTTTTAAAAGTGTTGCCATATTGCACTTGAACTAATCAGAAAATGTGCATAATAAAAGGTAATTTTATTCCGTATTAATTTGCATTTGTTAACACTCTATTTTCTATTACACAGCGCCAAATATTCCCCTAGCAGTGACTTTTGGAACTAATTTGTTTTTTCGAGGAATCCTTCGTCCCCCATCTTGTTTAATCTTCCTACAAAATGTGGCATCATTCTTGCAAATATATCGCACTACACAACACTGTGAGCACTGTCAGTTTAATTATGGCCACCCAGTATGTATAAATATATGGTCTTACAATGGACTTTCAAAACTTCATGTCTCCTTATAGCAATTAAATTCACCAGTAGTAATTTTAGCCATAGTCTTATAGAAGATGCCATCTTTAATTTTTTTTCACAATAGTTTTACTTTTTACAACAGTTTTCATTTTGCAACATTTTTATTAAATTTATTTCATTACCTATCTATCTATATGACAAAGATGCTATGTATAAAATGGAAATACTCGTAATATGGGCTCTCCTTTTTTTTTTTTTTTTTTTTTTTTTTTTTTTTGTAGATTATGTCTAAAGGCATAATTTTATTATCTGGTGTTGAAGAAATGCCTGCTAGCATCAAAACATTTGCTGTTTCTTTGTCTTCTGAAATGGCTCCAACAGCTACTATTGTAGTTTATGATATAGCAAGAGAAGGAGAAATAGTTGCAGATAGCTTGAAGTTTCCTGTTGATGGCATCTCTAAGAATAATGTGAGATTGATTTATTATTTTAACTATTTCATCTTGATTTGTAATTTGTATTTTGTGCATGTCATTTGATCAGAAAAATTTATAATATTACTGTTTATCAGCAGTAAGTATAGCTTACTAATATTAATTTATCTTAAAATGTTTGTTCTTGCATATCTGTGTCTATTGATTTCTAATAAGCAAGTGAAGATCTGTTCTTCAAAATGCATTTACATATATACTGTAAACTAAATTTTTAATCAGTATAGCAAAGCACAGAGCTATTCAGCTGCATTGACTGCTAAGTTTTCAACATGCGAATGGAAGTAACTAAATATAGATTACTGCTATACTTTGCAAAGTCCGTCTTCAATATGTCTGGGATTAATTATAATCTAATTTGAAAATTAAAAATTTAAAAAAAAAAATCAACTGGGGAAAATATTCTAAAAATTTGGTTGCCAGAATTAATTTTTAATACACAAATGATAATTTTTTTGTCCTTTATATGATCAAGTCTGTTTTCATGCAGTTCTGAAATTTTACGATATCATATATGTTTAATACATAATAATTTTTAATACACAAATGATAATTTTTTCGTCCTTTATATGATCAAGTCTGTTTTCATGCAGTTCTGAAATTTTACGATATCGTATATGTTTAAGTTTTTTTCTGGGGTTCCCTACTGTATGTGTACATACCTGTGTTTGGACTCTGCATTCTAGAGCTCTGACAACTATTGCTGGAAGTTGTGGATATAATTGAGGGCATCATACTGAACACTAATGAACTAGATAGTGAAACATTTTACAGAGATGAACAAAGGGCAGGACTCTGTTATCGGGTCCAAATTCAGAAATGTATCGATGTATGCATGTATGTATGTAAGTATGTGCGTATATGTGTGTGTGTGTACACAGGGTCAATTCATGACCTGAAATATGCGCTGTGATGATTCTTTATGAATTAAATTGCTCATTCTAACACACATATGTATGTATGTACATATACACATGCATACATGAATACATACAGCCATACTCAGACGCATACACATACATTTCTGAATCTGGTCCTCATAACAGAAGAGTAACTAAAGGTCTTATAAAGAAGGGGATGACAACCTAGACAACACTGATTCTGTTGAAATGCCTGCGTGAGAATTTACTGCTGAACAATTAAAAAAATACTGGAATAATTATACAGTCAATTAAATTAATTTTAATTAAATATTATTTTTTTCTGTGTACAGAAGGTTTTTATATATTTTTTTCGAGTCTTATGCATTTGACCCTGAAATTTCAAAGTTCCAAAAATGCCATGGGTAAGCAATATTGTCTTGAGTATACTTCCAAAATGACCTTTTCACTTTGCTCATATACTCCTTTTCTTTAAATATGTATTCAACCTGGAATCGAATTTATCAGGACCTGGCAGAAATATTCATGTGTACCAAATGAGAAAGCTATCCTTCGATATGGAATTTTACATCTGTAACACTTAAAGGGTTAATTAATGTTTAAAATGTAAAGAATATTTTTTAAATGCTTTATCTGATACCCTTCATTCTGGACTATAGTTCTGCATCATGATAGAAGAGCTTCCAGAGATATTATTTCCATTCGTCTTCTACTACTTTCCAGAGTCCATCAATCATGTTGAGTTTGCATTTAGAACAAGCTCTTTTCAAGACACCGGAGGCACAATAATTCATAGGTGAAAGGAATATGTTGAAAATGTATACATGCCGTACCTTTAGCAGTCTTCATTTATTCAAGAAATCCTGTGGTACTTTTCGAAGTATGATCTGTTGCTTTGTCTTGATGAAGTTTCACTCTTTGAAAGTCATTATGATGAATAAATGGAATTTTTTCTTTAAATCTCAGGCATAAAACTTTCTCTTCAGTGGTGTAGCCTAGGGTGGGGCAAGGAGGGGACATCTGTCCCCGGGCGCAACATCCAAAGGGCGCCAAATTGATGCTACGAAATTTTTTAATGGAATGTTTCCCCGTTCTTGGCACATAGAAAGAGGCATAAATTCTTCAGTTGTCCCCAGGCGCTGCAAACTCTAACTACGCCCCTGTTTCTCTTGATAGTATATTGAGTTGATTTTAACCTTTCCCCCCCCCTGGTGTTCTTATTTTAATTTCCCATTAGAATAGAATCCTGCAACAGTCAAAAACCCATTACTGAGACTTCCTTTGCATTGATGGAACCAGGTTTACAAAAAATTTTCTCTTTGTTTTCACTAATAGGTAGACTTTTTTTATTGCAGTCATTTAGTTAAGTCCATGCTTCATCAAAGGTCACAATGTAGTTCCATTTAGTACCACCTGTGAAATAGTTTTCATACAGGGTTCTGCAGTGAGGTACATGCCTTGGCAAAAGCTGGTGAACATTGTTTTTTTAACTTTTTTAAGTTGTACATTTTTGTCTATTATTTTATTTATTGTTGCTAAAAATGTATTTAAAGGCTTTGCAATTAATTTCTGGGTTGACAGATTTTTCTCTCCTTACTAGTGACTTAATTTTAGAAACAGTATGCACTTTTTTCAGGTACCATTTATTTCATGTTCTTTCCATATAGAAGTAACAACTAATAATTTTTTTTAGTTTTCAATTAATAATATTGCTTGCCATGCATTTCACAATGTTTTTTAATTATGGAATAGGAATATTTCTCTTTGAAAAGCATATCCTTCAATCCAAAGCTTGTTTACATGTGACATTTTGAAAGAACAATAAGCTTGAAAATACTGGACGATGTTTCTCATTTCAAATAATAAGCTTTTACCATAATTCATTATTCCAGCATATTTCTTTTTTAAAATTCTTTATCAAATCAAAATCATTCTAAAAATAAGTAAACACCCTCTGTAAATGTTTAGAAATCTTTAAACTTAAATCTTATCTCCTGAGTTTTTTCCCCCCCTTGTATGACATGTTTTTGAAACAGTCCAATAAGACATCTATTTAATTATGATTTAAGTGAAATCGGTTTTTGTATTTGCACCCCCTACATTCTTACTAATCAGGGTTGTTGCCCGTTTTTTTAAAATACAATGCAGTGTAATGTCATCATCTATTTGAATACTGAATACTCTTTTTGAATGCTGAATACTCATCTATGTAATACTCTTTTTCTTACCATTTTTTTAAAGAAGATTAATCTGAAAAAATTATTCTGTTAATATCAGTCTAAAAAAATTTTGCATCTGATGTTTCCATTTTCCTTGGATTCCCCCCCCCCAAAGAAATTTAAACTAGTATTTGTCTGTCTTATAATACTTTAAGGTGGCTACTTTCTACTTTTAAAATCGAGTGATATTATTTTTTAATAAATAATTAATGGTTTTATGCTTTGCTAATAAAACTAATTTGTTTTTATAGTTCACTGTAATGCTGAATAACAAGAAAGACAAAACGGGAGAAACAATAGAAGTCATCGTGAAAGGACAGCCTGGAACATATGTTGGGCTTTCTGCTGTTGACCATGTTCTTCACAACATGAGGACAGGAAGTGACTTAAGTCCTGCTGAGGTGACATCTGTTTTTATTTACTAATACTCTGAAAACTTTATACACAATTTGTGTAAATTTCATAATGAAATGATTTGCATGGGGAAATTAAATGCAAAAATTATAATTAATCGCTATAGCAATGTGTTGCTAACTAAAAAAAAATAGAAGCTACATATTTGATAATAAATATTAAAAATTTGTGTCCATAATTGTAAATGTATTAGCAATCAACAATTTCCTGAAAACCCTAAAAGTGCTGAATGAGAACTTTCCAGAAAACTGGTTTTCTGTGTTGAATATTTTTAAAGTTATTGCACCTAGGACTCATGATCTTATATTTAACAAAATCTAGTATTTAGTTATTGTATTGGTGCTGCATGAGACATCAGTATAAACACATGAATTTCTAATCAGGGTAACTGGTAACTGTTTTGTAAGGGAAAGACTGCTGAATGCTGGTAGTTTGACTTAAACTAAAATCCTGCAAAAAGACTAGTTTTATGGGCGTTTTTGGAATTTTCTCCATGTCTGAAGTAAATATAAGCAAGATTTCCTTAGAAAGCTGTCTACAAAAACATCACTTCCCGTAGGCAGATAGCTTTAGGGATCTTTGCCATAATCTAAAAATCCAAATCACCATAAAGTAATAGTAATTGTTTTGGATTTATCTAAAATGAAATTGTGAGCAAAGGTTTAAGCATTATCAAGTTTCTTTCAAAAATCAAAATTTTACTGTGAATATTTTTGTTAAAATTCAGAATTTTGAATATTATCCAAAATATAGTTTTTAGAGTTAGCATTAATAGTGCAAAGATTGTTGAGAAACATGAGTAATACAAAGAACCATAGATTTTTAATTAAAAAATTTCACAACTGATTAATATATCAGTTGTCAATATGGTACATGTACATTGTTGGGGAGAAAAAGGGCAGTTCTAAATCTCCCATTCTACTAGGTCGAAATGCGTTTTCCATGTCCCAAAAGTGCGACTTAGGATATGTATTAGCTTTATATATAGCATTGTCCTAATATAGGTATTTTGACACAAAATCGGACTTTTTCTGAAATGACATGCCAATTTTTGTTCCATATTTCGATTTTACGACTCAAATTATGTCAAACTGCCAAGTTTTGTAAAAATCGTGCAAGAAGATTTAAAAAAAAAATAGGTCTCAAAATTTTAGCTCCTCAAAGTTAATTCAATTTGGTATGCATTTATTAATAACTCTTTTTTTTTTATTACACTTACTTGATTCAGAAAATTCAAAAAATTTCAAACTGTGAAAGAAGAAATTCTTTCACAGTTTGAAATTTAGGTTCATTCCAAATAAAATTCGGTACTTACGTATTAACGCAACCAGGCCAAAATTCGCATAAATCGCCAAATTTGGCGACCCTACTTACGGCAACCCTACGTGTGTGGAAATAGACGAAAGTTTATTTGTAAAAAAGAAAAAATAACACTGGGCGTGTACTACCACAGCAATGGGTTTTCGGCGGAATTTGCCAAGAAAAGAAAGAGACTTTTTTGGTTGCTGTACCTAACAGAAGCGCCGTTACCCTCATGGAAAAAATTTGCGAAAATATCAAGGAAGGAAGCATCATTTATTCGGATTGCTGGAAAGGATACAATACAAGTGAGTTCGAAAATGCTGGATTTCTGCATGGAACTGTTAACCACAAATATAACTTTGTGGATCCCAACACGGGCATTCACACACAACATGTAGAGCGCATGTGGGGCTCAGCCAAATGGCGCAACAAAAAACAGAGAGGAACAGCCCGTCATCATCTTGACTCATACCTTATCGAATTTATATGGTGCCAAGATCAAGCTGTTAATGGCGAAGACGGTTTTCAATCAGTGCTAAAAGCAATAGCCAAAAGATTTCCGCCGAAGAAATAATTCTGCAACTTATTCAAATTCAAAACCGGAAGGGTTTAATTGCTATTTTATATTTTAAAACAAAATAATATAAAAAACTGTATTAAAAATTATCTGTAATTAATAAATGTACACTGCTCAAAAAAAAAAAAAAAATAATGGGACAGTGCTATATCTCCCGTTCTACTGGGCCAATTGACAAAATTCAAATTGCGTTTTTCATGTCTCGAAAGCGCGACTTAGGATATATATTAGATTTATATATAGCACTATTCTAACATAGGTATTTTGACACAAAAGCGGACTTTTTCTGAAATAACATACCAATTTTTTTACATATTTCGATTCTACGACTCAAATTTTGCCAGAATACCAAGTTTTGTAAAAATCGTACGAATAGTTTTTAAAATATTAGCTCTCAAAATTTTAGCTCCTCAATGTTAATTGAATTTGGCAAATATTTATTAATATCTCTTTTTTTATTAAACGTTTTTGATTTTTTCTTTCACATTTCGAAATTTTGGTTCATTCCAAATACAATTTACCCATTTTTTGCGTTCTATTTTTTAAATTTCTATTTTTAAATAATTTCTATAGATTTTTCGAAAAAAATTTAAATTATAACCTTTAAAATTTTTACCATCATCTTAAAGTAGGTGTATTTTTAAGCATATCTGCAAAAAATTAGACTTTTTTATTCAAAAGTTTCTAAGATATACACGAATTTACATAATTTCACGTTTTGAAATTTGGCACCTTTTTTTTGAGCGATAATAATGCCAAATGTAGTCTATGGATTTTTGTTACACTGAATTGCCACAGCTATTTTTAACCTTAAACTTCAAGTAAAATTTTACGGAGAATTAATTATATGACATTTTTTCCCTCAATGATGCATAATAAATATTTATTAATACTATATGAAAGGCTATTTTTTAAATTATAGATGATATTATTCAAATTTTTAACTATTTTTTTAAAAATTTCTCTCGTATCTTTTTTTTAAAAATTTAAGAGTAAGTTTTTGTAAGAATAAATTTTTACCTTCGGCGTTTTATCGTCTGCTACTTTACTTCGTTTAAATCGAATTGTCTAAAACTGAGAATTTTCGTTTGATATTTATTTGAATTTTATGACATTAACTGCATAATTTATTTCTAAACGAGCTGTTGCTTTTGAAGTGGCTGAAAAAGCGGCTGATACTATCATCCATATTTTTAAAGCACAATATATTTTTATAGAAACATAAGATTTAGAATAATCATTTTTTATAAAAGTCAAATTATGATATAAACATACAACCCTCTAGAGACTGAATTAATGGAAGTTCAATGGTTATGTAGAAATGATCTGCAGCTACTTAATGGCTGGATAAGTCAGCAGATTCTGTGGACAAGTAAGAATAATTATATAAACGACCACCAACATTCTGGATTCAATTAAACAACGAGGATACGATGTTTACTAAATGAATTTAAGAAGTTTTAAAACATAAAAAATCAACTCCTTTTTTTTTTCCTAAAATGTATTTTTGTGCGTAGCGTATTTTAATTATATTCTTAAAATTCTAATTTAGAATGTAATTGTCAAGAACTGAATCCTAATCATCAGTAATATAATAAGTAATTATTACGGTTATTAATAAATCCTTCTTATAAAGTAATCGCAAATATTTCAAAAAACTTTCTGTCTGAATGCAAACATTTTTCTATGCAAATATTTTTAATTTTATATTAATCAAGATTGCACACCATATTACTTATTTCCACTTCAATACTTACCATCAGTTCTAGTAGAATTTACAAATCAATTATATTTAATTAAGGATTGGATTGGATTATTTAATTATGGCAAAGCACACGAGGGCTATCTGCCTAAAGGGAGGGATGCCTTCGTGGAGGACTTTCTAAGGGAAACTGGCTCGTATACACGTTACACATGGGGAAAACCACGAAACCGCCCATGCAGCCAGCCCGTTCGCGGGATTCGAACCTCGGACTGAACTACCAGTGTTCAGCGTCTTTATCGCTCGGCCGTTGGTGGGCTATTTAATTAAGGAATGGCCATCTAAGTTAATATTTTATTTTTAAATATTTAAAATATTGTTGTATTCTTAGACACAAAAAGGAGAATTTAAGTTTTGTTAACTCGTTAGTAAACTACCAAGCCGTAGTGCAAATGAATATTCAATTTCTTTTGCAATAATTGTATTCACTTAATATTCTTGGAATATGAGGTAAAGAAGGAACGTTCTCGGAAGATTAAAGAAGTGTTTAAATCCAGTGATATTAGGTTTGTCTTACAAGCTCAGGATCAAAACGATTCCGCAATAGCCCGAGTAGTTGACTTGTAAATGGCTGTGAATTAAGCAGATGACTTTTAATCTTACGTTTTCAGTCAGACAACGTATCCCCCCCCAAAAAGTACTTTGTATTGCATGGCAATGCATCTTTTCATTATTCAATAACCAGTCGGAGAACCGCTTGTGTTCCGTAAATAAGTATGTGTACTCAATCGTCCTGCATGTTCTTCAAATTTGTCTTCTTGTGATTTTTTTTCTTTCCCAAAAACTAAAGTTGCCTCTCAAAGGAAAGTTTTTTGACATTGAAGAGACAAAAGGAGTATGGCATCTACATTTTAGAGGCATGTCAAAAACAGATCTCTACAAGCCTTCTCTTCCATTACATGTTGTGCAGTCAAACAAAAAGTTACATCAGCGTAAATTCTATAATCTATTTTTATTACACTCTGATTACTTTATTAACATACGGTGAATATATACTAAATCTTTTACTTTAGCTTAAGTAATTCGGAATTTTTGACGGAATTGTTGTCGGAACTAGGACTTAGAAGATAAGTCAAATTAAATATTTCGATAACCCAATAAATTCAAGTTCGAAATTTCAGTATTTTATTTTCGGAGAGAGGGGAAATGTTTTCAGTTTTGGTCCATTATACTAAGTATATTTGCTTCGATTTTTTTATTTTCCATAAAAGCGAAAATTTTACGCATGGTATACATATAACGCATAGCTTCAAATTAAAATTTAATAATATACAGAGTGGTTTATAATTAAAGTTCCACATTGAAACGGTCATAAAAAGGAAAACTACTGGATCAAATGTTATCAA